TTGAATTAGTGAAATCTCCCCATCCTCTCCCCGTGGACGTAGGCAAGTTGCCGAACCACGTATATCTCTGTGTTTGGTTTGATTTGTCGTAATTGGCTTGATTTGTGCAAGAGTGTGGCTTTCTTCTTCCGTGATCACAAGTTCGTTGTGTGTGCGTGCAACGCTTCCGCATAGGCGCGCGACAAGTGGTATCAGAGCTCAGATTCAGATCTAGGGTTTTGGATTAGGTGGAGGAAGATTCAGTTGGAAGCTTGGTTCTTGGAGTTCTAGGCTTTGGTGGAGTTAGGGTTTGAAGTTGCCGTTGAAGATCTCGCTTTCCTCGTGTGGTTAGGAGTTCTATTTGGAATCCAATCTAGGGTTCAGTTGGGTAATTTCTTATTCTTTTCAAAGTTTGGATCTTTCTCTACAATTTAGAATTTGTGATTATGGGTGAAGAAGTTGAAGAGGCGATATGGGAAAAGATGAATCGAAATGCTTGCGGGGTGATCAGGTCCTGTTTGGAACAGGAACTGAAATATGATGTGATTGGGGTGACGTCTACAATGAAGATGTGGGAGATTCTCAACAACAAGTATCTCACGAAGAGTGTTGAGAACAGGTTGCACTTGCTGTGAAGATTATTCAGATTTCAGATGTCCAAAGGCACCTCGCTTGCAGCTCATGTGAACAACTACACTAAGTTGTTATCGGACTTGGCGAATGTGGATGAGAAGATCACAGATGAGTACAAGGCTATTATTCTTTTGGGCTCCTTACCGGATGAGGAGTATGATACCTTCGTGCTTACGTTGTTGAACGGGAGATATTCTATCACTTATAGTAAAGTGACTAACGCATTGACGAACTATGATTTGAGGAGGAAGGATAAGAAGACTTCCCGCGCTAGTACTTCAGGAGAGGCCTTGTCGACGAGAGGTAGAAGCTCATATCAGAAAGGTGGAAATAGAGGGAGGTCAAAGTCAAGAGGTTGTCACCAGCTTGGAAAGAACCAATGTGTATTCTGCAAAGAGCAGGGACATTGGAAGAGAGATTGCCTGAAAGTCAAAGAAAAGGAGAATAGTAAGAATAAGGGCCCGAAGGCCAATGATGTGAATGTTGCGAAAGGCGATGATTCCGATGATTCGAGCTTTTCTCTTTTGATTACTCCGGAGGTGAACCATTTGGATGCATCAGAGTGGATGCTTGATTCTGGCACTACTTATCATGTGACTTCTAGGCGAGATTGGTTCTCATCATTTGAGAGACTCGACGGGGGTGTTGTTGTCATGGGAAATGATCAATCCTGTGGCGTTCGTGGGATAGGTACTGTGAGGATTCGGATGCACGATGGAGTAGTCCGTGAGCTGAAGGAGGTGAGATTCGTTCCTCAACTTAAAAAGAATCTTATCTCAATTGGGGCTTTGGAGGCGAAGGGATTCAGGGTGACCTTTGAGAATGCTGTAGCAAAGGTCACTAAGGGATCTTTGGTGGTGATGAAGGGAATCCGCAGACATAACTTATACTATCTGAAGGGGAGCACCGAGATTGGCCAGGTTGCTTCGGCGATTTCAGAGGCGGACATGAGCAGACTTTGGCACTACAGGCTAGGGCATACAGGTGAAAAGTCACTGCAGGCATTGTGCAAGCAGGGGCTATTGAAGGGAGCCAAGAGTAGAAAGATTGAGTTCTGTGAGCACTGTGTTCTTGGCAAGAAGACGAAGGTGAAGTTCGGGACGGCCATTCATAGGACGAGGGTCATCTTGGACTACGTGCACACAGATGTTTGGGGTCCCACCAAGACGGCATCACTTGGTGGTCGACATTGGTTCGTCACATTTATTGATGACTATTCTAGGCATTGTTGGGTGTACACCATGAAGCATAAGAGTGAAGTCCTAGATTTGTTTGTGGAGTGGAAGAAGAGATTGGAACTGCAGACTGGGAGAAAGATCAAGACGTTGCGATCCGACAACGACGGCGTGTATACTTCAGACCCCTTTCAGCAGCTATGTCGAGACGATGGCATAGAGAGGCACTTCACAGTTAGTCATGCACCGCAGCAGGATGGGGTGGCGGAGAGATTGAATCGGTCTTTACTGGAGAAGATTCGATGTTTATTAGCGCATAGTGGTTTAGAAAAGATCTTTTAGGCTGAGGCACTTTCTTATGCGAGCCACCTCATTAATAGGCCGCCTTCATCTGTGATTGAGGGGAAGACCCCTATGGAGATGTGGTCGGGAGAGACAGCACATGACTATGACCAGCTTAAGGTATTTGGTTGCCCTGCATATTATCATGTTAAAACTGATAAGTTGGAACCTCGAGCTAGGAAGGCCATATTTGTAGGATTCAAGCGTGGTGTCAAGGGATACAAGCTTTGGGATCTAGTTGATAAGAAGATTGTGTTGAGTAGGGACGTCATATTCGATGAGGCTTCTATCTTGAAGCTTCCCTGCTCTCATCAGGTGGAGAGCGACCCGACAGAGGAGATATCGTAGGTGGTGGAGATTGATGCAGCTCTACAGAGTCCAGATAGTGTAGTATCCATTAGAGTGCCGACTGAGGTGACGCCAGGCGAGCACGACGGTGATGCGGAGGATACGGGTACTCATGAGCAGGATCAGGGACCGACGGCTCAGGTTCAGGATTCTATTACGGCACGGAGACAGAGGAGAGACATACGGGTGCCAGCACGGTATGCCGACACAGTTGCATATGCACTTCCGGTGGAGAGTATCGATGAGATGGTGCTTACTACATTCAGAGAGACCGAGCAGAGTTCGGAGGCTGATTCGTGGCAGGTGGCTATGCAGGAGGAGATAGAGTTCCTTCATAAGAACGATACATGGGAGCTTGTTGAGCTTCCAAAGGGACGGAAGGCGATTGGGTGCAAGTGGGTGTACACAAAGAAGGAGGGCATTGAGGGCACTCCAGTGAGATTCAAGGCTAGGTTGGTTGCGAAGGGCTATGCACAGGAGGAAGGTATTGATTACAATGAGGTTTTCTCTCCGGTGGTGAAGCATTCGTCGATTCGGATTTTGCTAGCTTTGGTGGCACAGTATGGATTGGAGTTAGATCAGTTGGATGTGAAGACAGCATTTCTTCATGGTGATCTTGATGAAGAAATATATATGACTCAGCCATTGGGATTCCGAGCTGCAGGGAAAGATAAGTTGGTTTGCAGGCTAAAGAAATCGCTATACGGTTTGAAGCAGTCTCCTCGACAGTGGTATAGGCGATTTGATGGTTTTATGCTTGGTCATTCGTACACTCGGAGCCAGTTTGATCCTTGCGTGTATTTTCGCAAGTTGAGAGGAGGTGCGTACATTTATTTGTTGCTTTATGTCGATGACATGTTGGTTGCTTCTAGTTCCAGGTCAGCTATAGATGAGTTGAAAGTTCAGCTTTCGAATGAGTTTGAGATGAAGGACTTGGGCGAGGCGAAGCGCATTTTAGGGATGGAGATCGGCAGAGATAAGAAGAAGGGCAGGATTTGTTTGACACAGGTGGCTTATTTGAAGAAGGTTCTACAGCGATTCCATGTTAGCATGGATACGAAGCCAGTTTGTGTACCGTTGGGAGCCCATTTGAAGCTTTCAGCTGGCCTTTCACCGAAGTCAGTTGAAGACCGTGAGTTGATGACGAAGACTCCATATGCGAGCGCAGTTGGGAGCTTGATGTACGCGATGGTATGTACGAGGCCGGATTTGTCACAGGCAGTGAGCATGGTGTCGAGATACATGCACGATCCAGGAGTGGGTCATTGGGATGTCGTGAGATGGATTTTGAGGTACATTCTAGGTACGCTCAATGTTGGTTTGGTTTATGAACGGGACACTATAGGTGGGCAGCTATGTATTGGCTATGTTGATTCGGATTATGCCGGGGATTTGGATAAGCGCCGGTCTACTACGGGGTATGTGTTCACTTTGACCCGTGCGCCGGTGTGTTGGAGATGCACCTTACAGTCGACGGTGGCTTTGTCTACGACGGAGGCAGAGTATATGGCAGTTACGGAGGCTGTGAAGGAGGCTATTTGGCTTCGAGGACTTTTGGAAGAACTTGGTATATCGCAGCGATCCGTCACTATTCATTGCGATAGCATGAGTGCTACGTATTTGGAGAGACGACACATTGATGCTCTTGGTTTAGTGTCGGCTCAGTTTTGGCAAAATTCGCCGAGGTGGAGAATTGTGGAGAAATCAGAAAAACCAGATTTTTTGGTATAAGTCGACTCATGCACAAGGCTAAGTCGACTTATGGTAAGTCGACTTGTCAGTGTGCACAAGTCGACTTACGATCTGCACTGGAGTTGTGTTTTTTCTCTCTGCCAAGTCGACTTATCAGGCCTGATAAGTCGACTTATGAAGTGGTCTCCAGTTGCTGTTTTTCTCTCTGCCAAGTCGACTTATGCTCTCTGTTAAGTCGACTTACGATGGGTTTTTTGCATAATCAGGTTTCCTGTTTGCAGTCTGATTGGGTTTTTGTTTTGATATAAATAGGGAAACGATTTGTTAGGGTTTTTTATCAGAGATTGAGGAATCTTTTGAGCGTTGTGAGAGGGAGATATTGTGAGCAAGGTGAGATCTTTGGTTGAGGGTTAGTTTGAGAGTTTTGTGTGATTGTAATCCTTTGTACTCTCCTTGAATTAGTGAAATCTCCCCATCCTCTCCCCGTGGACGTAGGCAAGTTTCCGAACCATGTATATCTCTGTGTTTGGTTTGATTTGTCGTAATTGGCTTGATTTGTGCAAGAGTGTGGCTTTCTTCTTCCGTGATCACAAGTTCGTTGTGTGTGCGTGCAACGCTTCCGCATAGGCGCGCGACAGTTGGTAGCTCTGACTAATTAGAAAAACGTTTAAAAAAATAGATCCACTTTCTGGCCACGGTGCTGACGTGGTCAGAAATTGAGTCTATTTCTGTAATAAAAACATAAGAGGGACGATTTTTTAAAAAAAAAATTGATATTGGGCTATGTTGAAAATTTCTTCTTCGAGCACGTAATTTATCCTTATCCTTACGGCCTCTGTGTTGTGCGGTTGGGGTCTCCGCCGTGCTTCGGCTGTTTGTGACCCGATAACCCGATAACTGACAATCCGACCCGAAACGCCCCAGGTTACCCCCTCTCTCTCAAGCTGAGCTCTTCACTCTGCTGCCACTCAGATATTTCAAGGTTCAATTTTTGGTCCTAAAAAAATTATAATTTGCTTCAAAATTTATTCTTTCCCTTTATTTTTTCTGATTTTTTTTTGACTGCAGCCAATATTTGCTTTTCTGATGAAAATGTCTCTACCCATGAAAGGTTAGTTTCTGTTTTCGTATAGGAATTGATGCAATTGGTTAAAATAGCTTTTAAAGTTCAAATCTTTTCAATTGATTTTGGGAATGGGGTTGACCCAAGTTAATGAATGCTGGTGCTAGAGAACTTTGAGCTGATTTGAACTGATTAGGCTGAAATTGATCTAAATGGAATTGGTTGAGTTGTTGATTAGTGATTGGTGGGGGGTTCATGAGTGAATGTTGATTATTGGTTATTGTCATGATTCAACTGTTGAGGTTCTCATATGTGTTTGTTCTCACAAATTTCTTGACCTTTTTGGAATTTTCTGCATCTAGAATCAACATATAAATTGCAGTTTTACATAAAGGTTCATACCCATAATCAAATGTTTGCCAATATCAATTATCAACATTGGGAAGATGTAGACCAAGAGCGATGAGCATGAGGCTCCATCTCTATTTTAATTGTCCCTTTTGATTTGTATAAATTCTTGGACGTATGCGTATTTATATAAACTATAGAGCCATAAATTAGTCAAATTATGCTAGGTGTGTTAGCTTTAAATCGTATGTACATTGTACCACAACACGCATAAGCTATGATGTGTTGTAAGGTAAACCGATTAATGTGAAACAGTTAAGTAATAAAGTTATATAACCATACACATCACAATATTGTGCACAAATTTGAAACACAGAAGTACAGATAACAAGGAAACGCGAAAATTTATTTATTTATTTTTGCTATATATTATAATGTATGCAATTTAAGTACTATATTTCCAAGTTCAATGACATTAAGGCATGACTCTGTAATTCAGGTACTATGAACATAGAAATGGTAAGTTTCAAGAAGGATAATTTCCCAAGCAGGGTCATAACCTACTCAATCTAAATGCGGCCAATCATCCCCAATAGGTCCATCATCATCTTCAAGAATGTTACTTCTACTTTCTTCATCATCTTCTTCTCTCTCTACAAAATTCTCTTTATATTGCCTACTTTCTTGTCTTCTTTTGCTTCAGCAATGAAATCAATCTTCGAAAAATTTTGTCAGTAAATGACATTAAAAAATTTATTTGATTCTTAAAATTGGAACTCAGCAGTCAATTGATTTACAAATATTAGAAACTAATGCTTACATTCCCGTGTTATTTTCTTTTTGGTAGAAGTACTTGGTTATCTTTCATGTTTAGTACTCTTCTATCCTATGTATATAAGCATTCAAGAATTCTCTTGTTGTAGGCAAGGTCATACATCGTAGGCTACTCATATATTATAAAATTGGATCAGATGTCTTTCTGATGCTTCCCTCTTTGGTTGCAACCATTTCCTGTAGTATGGTTGTTATTCAAGAAAACCATCGACATTGACCCTTGGTTGTTCCCAAGTAATTCTCTATCCTAGCAATCTGAAGGCATGTGCTTATTCAACATAGAGGTTTAGGGAGTGGTGGTATTCTCAACAATGAGTGGAGAAAGAAAATTGCACACGGACAGGGCCGGTCCTGAGCATTCGGGGGCCCTAGGCAAAAACTTGAACAAAAATCTTAAAGGGGCCCTCCTATATTCATAATTTCATATATGTTATGCACAGATTCATACTTTGTTTATACAACTAATTCATGTATGTTAATAATGTTATGCACAAATTCTTGCTGTATAGAATCAATAACAAAGCAAAAGTATTATTAGGTCATGAAGTGATGAAACAAAGATATCATGCTATTCTAAGTTACTAAGTATAGTCTGTTATCTGTATAGAATTATAGAAATATTCAATTATTCAAATATACTTATATACCTTGTAACTTTGACGGAGTCGCCGGCCAGAGGAGGCGCAGATGGCGGACTGCGGACGGTCCGGATGGAGTCGGGAAGAAGAAACGTCACTTCAGAGAGAGTCAGAGAAGAAGAAGAGAGGTCGGCGATCAGACGGCCACTTCGGAAATCGGAGAGACCAAGGGTTTTTCGTTTTTGTATTTATAGCCTCTTTATTTCTAGATGCACCTTTGTACTATGGAGGCGTAACTATTTATCACCCTGTTCCATTTTATTAGCAACTATACCCCGGGTCCCATGACAATGTTATTTTTCAATCCGTTCTTAAACCCACTTGAGAATCACTTGGCAATCTTCTTAAGCAAATTAAGGACCATTTGTAATTCAAGTCAACTCATCTAACACATTGTTGTTATAAAATATAAATTATGTTATAAGATGCAATGAATATATATAAGATTCATTAACCTAAACACACACGCACGCACGCACGCACGCACGCACACAGACCACACATACACACGGGCGTGCACCCACACAATACAACATAAAATGCTCTACTGGAAGTATTCATAAGGTATTGAAAACACCACTACAACATAAAATGTTCTATTTCATGTAACCTTAATATATCGAGTCTAGAGAGGACAATTGTTGCGTTTGGTTTCACAAAGAGATGTCATATTATTACATCAAAATGTTATCCCTTGTAGAGCCATATTCAGAGCAGTTATGCCCACAAATTTTGTCCAGTTCCTGATATATATTCTTGTGCATCGTGCACCAGCATTTTATTGTGGATTTGTTTCCTGGATTCCACTTATCATACATACACCATCAACTTGTTTAATTTTCTTCTATCTATGAAAATCTCTATTATTTTGAATTGAACCTACAATTTTCTCTATCGTTGCTCATCAAGGAATTTTCTCTACAGTTGTTCATCAGGGAATGCACTCGTCTTACATGTATAAAGCATGACTATCAACTAGTTATCTTACAAACATATGGATAATGCCCACACAGTTCAGTCATATCAACTCGGCGATCAAACCACTAGCGACATCACCGTACACCTAAGAAACCAACATGGGAAGTCTCAGCATGTCCTATGTCACTCATCCATCCTGAAAACAAAGAGCAAGTTCTTTGCAAACCAGCTCTCCACTTTTCAATCCAATAAATGCATTGAGGTCTCTTGTCCTGCCTCAGATTATGATCATTACATTAGGCTCTTAAATCTTCTATATATCTCTGAAGACACCCTTTTGGATTCTCTAGAGTCCGTCAAATCTACTCTCGGTCTTCTTCAAGCGTCTATCTCTCTGTGTTGCAACTCAATCACTAGCATCTGCATCCAATATCTTGAGGCCATGCCTTGGGAGGAAAAAGAAGAGGAAACAATACTAAAAATTATTCCAACTCTTGGCTCAGACGCTAGTCCGCTAGTAGCACGATTTCACTCTGCAGATATAAATGCCACAAAAAATGTCTTTATCTCTGCTATTCATTTTGCCACAAGCATTGAGAAATCCTTTCCTCCTTTATCCGATGAAATAAAACTCTCTGCTCAAGAGCAAATTGATTATATGCTAGCAGAGGACAAAGAGACTCCTTGGGTTGTTATTGATGAAGAGGTGAGGTCTGAGGCAAGAGCAGGACTTGCCAAAATTTTCTCTGCATTCAAGATAGAGCTCGATTCCCTGACCTCTGATTTCGATCAGAGAGTTCTTCAGTGCGTATCTGATCTCGACTGGATATGCAATGTCCTTTCAAAAATGGAATTAATGACAGATTTTGTATCAGGATTAGCTTGCATCTCTGATTATGTACTTGAAATAGTTCAAGATGAGAAGTATAATTCTTGTTTGTGGTCTGTCAAACTAAAACTCGTAGAATTAGTAGGTAAAGCTCTGGAGGCAATCGGTTTTGGCAATGTCGTTCTTCCAACTGCATCAAGAATCAAGTTTTTGAAAACATGGCTTCCATATTTGAGGATGATGAAACCTGTACTTGATTCAAAATGTAAGGAAGACGAGGGATTTATGCACAAAATGGATGCTGATCTCTGTCAGAATATTGAGGGGGCCATTGTTTCGCTTGTGTTGGCATTGCCATCGAGCGAGCAAGCAGATATACTGATGGATTGGATGAAGAGGACCGAGGAGCTAGGATTTCCTGATCTTACAGAAGCTTTTGAGATTTGGTGTTATCGGACGAAAGCTGCGAAGAGGAGGCTTGTGCTAGGGTTTAATGAGAGTTTTAAAAATGAGATTTCAAACTAGAGCTTCTGTGGCGGCATCTGTTGTAACAAAATGAAACTTATTTATTGACAATCTGTCCTTTATTTATAGAGTCTCTGCTCTTTTGATCTATTTTGCTTTTAGTCTAGCTTTCATTTACAGCTAGGTCTAAGTGAACAGAGAAGAAGAGAGGGAACGATGGGATTTCTTTGGGGGGGTTCCGGTAACAGGTAAGGGATTTGATTCCTTTTTTGTTGTTATATTTTCTCAAGGAGAACACTCCTTCTTTTAGAGGGGTCAAACTCATCATCTCCACGCCTCGTAACTGTCCCTGAGAGATTTTCTCTCAACAACCCATTTCCCATGTTTTTCACGTTTTTCGCAACATGAGAGTTGTTGATTTGGTCACACAAGACCGTGTCAATGTAACATCTCCCACTTGACTAAATTAACCAAGTGACATGCCTCTTACTTTCCGTGAGATCAATGTTTCTTCTTATCATTACTCCCACTATTCATAGAGAGTAACTTTTATTTTATTATTCATAAAATTTTACTTGGACTTATTTATTCGTAAGTCCCATCAAACGTTACATATTTGACAAAAAAAATTCCCTGGTATTTCTTTTGTCAAAAGATCAACAATCATGTCTGTAGTAGGGATATAAGTCACTTTGACTTCTTACTTTTCTATAATATCTCGAATATAGTGATACTGGATCTCAATATGTTTTCTTTTAGAGCTATTCGCGTCACTATTGATTAAGCTAATTGCTGCTAGATTATCATAATAAATATTAATAGGTTCTTCTAACAAATTAAGATCTAGATCAATCAAAAACCGTCTTATCCAGAAATCATGTGTAGTTGCTATACTGCAAGCTATATATTCATCTTCTTGCGTATATCTAGCAACACATCATTGTTTCTTGTTACTCTAAGAAACAACTCTTTCAAGATGAATAAGTGTCCCGAAGTGGACTTTCCATCATCTTTATAACCTCCAAAATCCTCATCGGAGTAACCGAGGAGATCAAGCAAATCACTTTGATAAACTAATCTATGAGTCAATGTATCTCTGATATACTTCATAATCCTTTTAACAACTCCTCAATGTGCTGGTCCTGGATTACTTTGATATCGACTGAATAGACTTACAACATAAGTATATCAGGTCTGATGCACAACATTGCATATATCAAGCTTCTAATTGCTTGAGCATAAGGAACATCTAATGGTTTTTGCCCCTCTCCAAGGCTTTGTTCTTTACATAATCTCTTTCTCATGACCAATGGAGTTGGTGCCGGATTGGAATTCTCCATTCCAAACCTTTTAAGAACTCGTCTTAAATATTTTTCTTGGTTTAAACTTAGCATTCTAGACTTTCTATCTCGTATTATTTGAATACCAAGAATATATGATGCATCTCCCATGACTTTCATCTCAAACTTTTCGATGAGATCTTCCTTGATTTTATTCAACATTTCTATGTCATTTCCAGGGAGCAATATATCATCCACATATAAGGATAATATAGTAAAATTTCTCCCACTTTTCAAGACATATACATAATTATCTAATTTATTTTGAATAAAATCAAGTTTAGTGACTGCATAATAAAATTTGAGATATCATTATCTAGAAGACTGTTTAAACCGTATAAAGATTTTATTAATTTGTAAATTTTATGTTCTTGTCATTTCATCTGAAAATATTCAGGTTGTTGCATATATATCGCTTCCTTCAACTCTCCGTTAAGCAATGCAGTTTTAACATCCATTTGGAATAACTTCAAATCAAGATATGCAACGATAGCCAAAATAATTCTAATGGATGTAAATTTAGCTACATGAGAACACGTTTCCTGAAAATCTATTCGTGCCTTCTAATTGTAACCCTTGGCAACTAACCATGCTTTGAATTTATCAATAGATCCATCAACACGATATTTCTTTTTAAGTACCCATTTGCACCCTATGTCTTTTCTATTTTCCGGTAGATCATATGTCTCCCATACCTTATTCTTTTCTATAGAATCAAGTTATTCTCTCATGGATTTTAGCCATAAAGTCGATTCATGTGATTTCATCTCATCAGAGAAGATTAAGGGATCTTGTTCTTCTATATTTGTATATACTGAGAAACATGACGACTCACATGAATATAAATAGTAATCATCCATCCATGAAGGTTGTGTTCTTGGCCCTTTGTTGCCTACAACCGGTTGATGAGGTACATTATTTTTCGTACGTATTTCATCATTTTCAAGGTTAGGTTCATTCACAATATTATGGTCATTAGTGGGAACAACACTGTAATAATCATCATCTATTACAGTTAGAGGTTTTGTTTCCTCTAGAACTTGTTCATATTCCTCTAGGTTTTCTAGAAACGTAACATCTCTGCTTTCAACAACCCTTTTTTCTTTATTGTAGAATTTATAACCTTTTGACTTTTCTGAATACCTTATAAATTTACACTTTATTGTTTTAAAATCAAACTTATCTCTAAGTTGATATGGAATGAGAACATGAGCTATAGATCCCCACTTCCTGAGATGACTCAAATTAGGTTTCCTTTTATTTCATAATTCATAAGGTGTAGATACAACTGATTTGGTGGGAATTCTATTTAGAATATAGTTTGCGGTTAACAATGCTTCTCCCCAAAAGTTTTTAAAAAGACCAGAATGAGACAACATGCATCTAACTACATTCAGCAATGTTCTGCTCTTTCTTTCAGTAACACCATTCTGTTGTGGTATATACGGCATTGTTGTATGCCCTTTAATTTCATGTTGAATACAATAACTCTAAATTCTTTAGAGTTATATTTTCCACCTCTATCAGTTCTCAAAATTTTAATTTTTATTCCAAGTTGGTTTTCAACTTCTGTCTTATATCTCTTAAAGCAATCAGGAGCTTCTAGTTTTCTAGATATAAGATAGACGTGTGCAAACTTGGAATAATCATCTATAAAAGTAATAAAATATTCTTTATTACTATGAGTTTTGACACTTAAGGGACCACAAATATCCGAGTGTATCAACCCTAAAAGTTCATTGGCTATTTGTCCGCCAATAAAAAGGTTTTCTAGTCATTTTACCAGTTAAACAATGTTCACATAGTGGCAATCAAACATTATATAGTGCAGGAAATAAGTTCATTCTGATAATTTTTTTTATTTTTAAAATATTAGCATGTCCTAGTCTAAAATGTCATGAGAAATGTAACAGGATAAGCAGTTCAAATTTAAAATTTTATTATCATAATTATTACAAACTACTGGAAGAATGCATAATTCATGCTCGGGCACATATTTTCCAATAACATACACTTTATTATTTTTTCCTATAGAAACCCGGTTATTGTAGAACCAACTTTCAGTTCTTTCTTCATCAAGCTGGGAACAGAGATCAGGTTGCGCTGAATTCCTGGTGCATAGAACACATCTTTGAGGACAAGAATATTGTCTCCAAAATCCAATCTATACGAACTAATACCTTCTATATCGAAATATGTATTATTTCCCATATAGATTCTCTGTTCTCCTTTCTTTAGCTCGGTGAATTCTGTGACTCTGTTCTTGTCCTTTGCGATATGTCTAGTCACACCGGAATCGATCCACCAACCGCTGATATCCGTCATTACAACATTGCATTCTGTCACACCGACGAATTCTCTTTTGCTAGTACCCCGTTGTTCTGGATGCTTATAGCCTCCCTTATTCTCCTGCTTTTCACCTTACGGGCAAGTGGGCTTGAAATGCTCGAACTTTCCACAATTGTAGCAGGCTCCATGTGGTACTTTCTTTCTTTTGAACTGCTGTGATTTCGGTCCTCGCAGTTGTGGTTTACTAGGACCAGGATTTTTATAGCTTTCAGTATAATGCATCTGGCGAACAAAATTCAGCTCTTGTTGCACCATATTTAGTTTTGGTTTTTTCTACTGGCTATTAAGTCATGTTTTATTGCTAGGTGTATAGGAAGATCAGTGAAAGATTTAACGGCAATGTTAATTCTCTATGTGGTGGCAGCCACAATAAGGGAGGGTGGTAGACTATTCAAAATGGTTGTCACTTGCATTCTTTTCGGGATTTCGATCCTAGCAGTGGATAAGTCCTTAGCCATGACAGTCATTTTATTTATATGCTCTATGATATTGTCTCTCTCTTGCATATGATAAGAATTATACTTATGCAAGAGGAGTTGAATGTTAACTTCAGAGGCGGTGTCGTATTTCTCTTTTATAACATTCCACATGTCCATGGAAGTCTTATATGTTTCAAAAACTTTGATTAAGTTATCTTCCATGAACATGAATATTATGCTTTTTACTTTTTTATCTTTCGACTTTCACTGTTCAAACTCTTTCTTTTCTTCAGGTGTATATTTATTAGTAAGGGTTGGAGCAGTGGTTTCGGTTACATCATCGATATTGTCATGAATAAGAACATATCATATTTTTTCTATGTCACATATCATAATTACTGCCATTAAATTTATCATTTTTTCTAATTATGATAGAATGAGTTTACTAGTCATTCGGTAGAGAACTAAAACTAAAATCCAATTTTAAAATATGTATAAGGTTGGTGTATAGACAGTTATACTAATATTAGAATAAAGTTTTGAAAAATAAATTAAAATGAACCTGATTGTTCCGAGTTGATGAAATTAAGAGGCTCTAATTTGAGCGAGATTGTCACTTAACGGTGTTGATTGGATAAGTACTTGTCGAAGTCGGTTCTGACTGGACTCGGAGATGATCTGCTGTCGTACTTGAGTTGAACTGGATAGGATTTGCGAAGAATTGTTCGGATAACTAATAGAAAGCAAATTCTGAATTGTGTAAGGGGCTAAAGTGATATTTTTTATTTAAAGCTAGAAATGGCTCTGACTTCCCCCTGAATGCTATTAATTATCCTTTTATGGACCTATCAACACTTCACCCCAAAAAATCTCCTCTCTTTCTCAAAATCAAATCCACTCCAGATCTGATTGATTCCTTCTCTCTTCTCCCCAAAACCCTCTCTTTGGCGGTTCGATCCAAGCTTAGAGATCGAGGTCGTCGTCGCAGTAGGGTCGTCGCAGCTTAGAGATCTGATTGAGGTCGTCACAGCTTAAA